TGGCTGGTGAACTGGCGCATTCCGCATTGGGGCAAGATGGGCGGGCAGGTGGTGATGAAGCTCTTCATGCCCGCCATTCGTCCTTCTTCCCCTCACACTTTTCCCCCTCCCCCCTTTCCCCCTCATCCCTTCTCTCCCTCCCCCTCTCACCCCCCCAGTGGCTGGTGAACTGGCGCATTCCGCATTGGGGCAAGATGGGTGGGCAGGTGGTGATGAAGCTCTTCATGCCCGCCATGCTCAAATGGGTGCTCACCGGCAACACGTGAGTGGTGGGGTGGGGTGGGGTGGTGTGGGGTGGGGTGGGGTGGGGTGGGGTGGGGTGGTGTGGGGTGGGGTGGAGTGGGGTGGTGTGGGGTGGGGTAGGGTGGGGTGGGGCGTGGGTGGTCAAGTCAGCAGGTGGTGATGAAGCTCTTCATGCCCGCCATGCTGAAATGGGAGCTCACTGGCAACACATGAGTGGTGGAGTGCGGTGGTGATGGGCGGGGGTGAGATGAGATTAGGCGGCACGTGAGTGGGTGTTGAGTAAGCATGGGAGTGGTTGGTCATACTCGAATGGGTGACTCACAAGCATTGCAAGTTTGGATCAACTCCCCTCTTCCTCTCCTCAAGTCTTCCTCTCCTCAAGTGTTCCTCTCCTCAAGTGTTCCTCTCCTCAAGTGTTCCTCTCCTCAAGCGTTCCTCTCCTCAAGCATTCCTCTCCTCAAGCGTTCCTCTCCTCAAGCATTCCTCTCCTCAAGCGTTCCTCTCCTCAAGCGTTCCTCTCCTCAAGTGTTCCTCTCCTCAAGTGTTCCTCTCCTCAAGTGTTCCTCTCCTCAAGCGTTCCTCTCCTCAAGCGTTCCTCTCCTCAAGTGTTCCTCTCCTCAAGTGTTCCTCTCCTCAAGCGTTCCTCTCCTCAAGTGTTCCTCTCCTCAAGCGTTCCTCTCCTCAAGCGTTCCTCTCCTCAAGTCTTCCTCTCCTCAAGTCTTCCTCTCCTCAAGCGTTCCTCTCCTCAAGCGTTCCTCTCCTCAAGTGTTCCTCTCCTCATGCGTTCCTCTCCTCAAGCGTTCCTCTCCTCAACCGTTCCTCTCCTCAAGCGTTCCTCTCCTCAAGCGTTCCTCTCCTCAAGTGTTCCTCTCCTCAAGTGTTCCTCTCCTCAAGTGTTCCTCTCCTCAAGTGTTCCTCTCCTCAAGCGTTCCTCTCCTCAAGCGTTCCTCTCCTCAAGCGTTCCTCTCCTCAAGCGTTCCTCTCCTCAAGCGTTCCTCTCCTCAAGCGTTCCTCTCCTCAAGCGTTCCTCTCCTCAAGCGTTCCTCTCCTCAAGTGTTCCTCTCCTCAAGTGTTCCTCTCCTCAAGTGTTCCTCTCCTCAAGCGTTCCTCTCCTCAAGCGTTCCTCTCCTCAAGCGTTCCTCTCCTCAAGCGTTCCTCTCCTCAAGTGTTCCTCTCCTCAAGTGTTCCTCTCCTCAAGTGTTCCTCTCCTCAAGCGTTCCTCTCCTCAAGCGTTCCTCTCCTCAAGTGTTCCTCTCCTCAAGTGTTCCTCTCCTCAAGCGTTCCTCTCAAGCGTTCCTCTCCTCAAGCGTTCCTCTCCTCAAGCGTTCCTCTCCTCAAGTGTTCCTCTCCTCAAGTGTTCCTCTCCTCAAGTGTTCCTCTCCTCAAGTGTTCCTCTCCTCAAGTGTTCCTCTCCTCAAGTGTTCCTCTCCTCAAGTGTTCCTCTCCTCAAGCGTTCCTCTCCTCAAGCGTTCCTTATTCTCCCTCATCGTCCCCCTCTCAATCCTTCAAATAGGTGACTTTTGAGTCGACTCAAAAGTCTTCCGCTCCTCAAGTGTTCCTTTTCTCCCTCATCATCCCCCTCTATCCTTCATCACTCCTCCACTGCTCCCTTCTCTATTCCCTTCTCCCTCTCCACCCCTCCATCTCCTCTCTCTCCTCCTACTCGTCATCTCTGTTCCCCACTCACTTGCTCTTCTCCTGCAGGTTTGCATTGGAGGGCCGTGCGCCTTACTGCAGAATCACGGACAGGGTGAGTGATGGGAACGAGTGGGGTAAACGCGTGGGGGTATTGTAAGGCAAGAGACAATAATTTTGTTGTCGTTTTTAGTCCAAAAAATAGCTGGCTCATTTACTTGATTCCCTGCTCCATATTCCCTCCCCTCACCCCATCACCACCAGGCGGATTCGAATCTAGCCAAGTGGATGGACGATGACGATGCATTGGAGAGAGCAACCGATGCAGAGTGGTTCCTGCTGCCTGCTGCGGACCGCATGCCCCTCACCGGCGCTCTCACTGACTCTGGCCGCCCCATCCTGCCTCTGGCAATCGCCACCACCCCCGAAGGCGCTCCCCCTACCACCATCACGTCGGCCATCACCATTGTTGGGTGAGTGAGAAGAGAAGAGAACCCACCGCATGTGACTCTTGTAAGGCCTGTTACTCCTTCTGGACGCCCCATCCTGCTGCGGACCGCATGCCCCTCGCCGGCACTCTCACTGACTCCGGCCGCCCCATCCTGCCTCTCGCTATTGCCACCACCCCGGAAGGCGCCCCCCCTACCACCATCACCTCTGCCATCACTATCGTCGGGTGAGCCTCCCTTCTTGTATTCCCTTCTTGCATCTCCTGTGTGTCTCACCTGACCTCACCTTCTCTCGCCTTATCTCCCCTCCCCTTCTTCTGTCACCTCCTCTCACCTGCCCCCACTTACTCTCACCTGCTCTCACCTGCTCTCACCTCCTCTCACCTCCTCTCACCTCCTCTCACCTCCTCACACCTCCTCTCACCTGCTCCCACCTGCCCTCACCTACCCTCGCCTGATGTCACTTGCTCAGACCTGATCCCACTTGTTCGGACCTAATTCCACCTGCCAACCCCTGCGTACCACCTTATCTCCTTTCTCCTCACTTCTCCACCTTTCCCCCTTCCCAGCAACACACACCTCCCTTTCTCCCTCTCTGCAGCTCTGCGGAGTGTGCGCCTGCCAGCGGCACAGCAGCACTCATCTCTCTCTTCCCCCCGCCTCCCTTCTACACCCCTCCCTTCTCCCACACTCTCTCTGCAGCTCTGCAGAGTGTGCGCCTGCCAGCGGCACAGCAGCGGTCATCTCACTGCCTGGGGTGCGTACCCCTTGCTTTACACTCATACTCGTGCTCAACACTCAGATGCACACACACACACACACACACACACACACACACACACACACACACTCACTCACTTCCTCCATTACAGCGATCTTTCTGTCTGTGCCGACACTTGCTACAGATCAAGCACACTGGCGCTAACACCAGCCCTGCTTGCACCTGTTGTTTGCTGTTGCAAAAGTGTCATGCTCACGTTCTCCTTACCATCCGTTTATGCATCTGCCATTTAATTGCATGGACATGTCATGGCTCCGGCACGACACGACATGGCATGGCATGGCATGGCATGGCATGGCATGGCATGGCATGGCATGGCATGGCACGACATGGCAGGTGGAGGAGAAGCACTGCCGCATTGAGAGTCGCAGTGACCACACCTTCTATGCAACAGACCTCAGCCAGACCCAGGGCACCTGGCTTGTCAGGTGGGTTGCTTTCAGGGGCACCTGGCTTGTCAGGTGGGTTTCTTTCAGGGGCACCTGAATTGTAAGGTTGTAGCTTGTTTTCCGTACTTATAGCTTGTAGGTAGGCCTTAAAGGCCTTGGGCAACATGACTGTCTTAACAGTGCTTTCCTACTCCTAGTTTTTGAGTCGACTCAAAAGTCACCCTTTCTTAACAGCGCTCACTCCAGGGTCCCCCGAATGCCTTTTCAGTTAGTCACCCTTTCTTCCCCCCTCCCCCCTGCAGAGTGGATGGAGCGCGGTCAAGGCTCACTCCAGGGTCCCCTGAACGCCTGCACCCTGGTGACTCCCTCCAGTTTGGACCCAACACCGAGGTCAGTTCTCCATCACTGTTGAACTCGCCTTTGAACCGACCTTTTCTTTATTTAGCTCGTATATGCGACCTTTATGGTGCAGGGTGTAGTCCTGTGTAGCTTCCTCTGACCTTGGTGCATGTGCCTTGTGCATGTGTGATGTGACACGCTGCAAGCAGGCTCTCTTCCGTATCAAGCTGAGGAAGGCACAAGACGGTGGCAAGGCCAAGGATGTGTTGGCAGCTGCGACTGCCTGACTGGGATCTCGAGTACGAAAAATTGGGGTCGAAATGTGCACGCGAATCCATCTGCTATGTCGGTTAGTTCTTTTGTACAGTGCTGCACCTTATGTGAGCATCATTGCATAGATCTCTGCTGTTGGTGCATCTGTATCCCTGTGCTTGTTTGATGGAACACACTGGAAGTTACGTTATTCATTCTCAACCTAGGATGCTTGCAACTTACTAGCAGAGGTTACTTTCCTGCATGTGGGGGATAGAATTAGGGCTTGTTCCTACGGTCCCTTATCAGGCCAACCTCCTACCAAGGTAATAGACTTTCTTCGCATCATGCTGAAACCCACTTACCGATTAAACCAAAAACCTTTTGCATATTCTGTTAGGGAAGAGGATTGCCTGATAAGAGCAGACCCGCGCCCTTAACCTATAATGCAGGTAATTCAACCTTACCATTAGGAATCAATACCCGGCAACTAAAAGCAGCAGGGGTTAAGAACAATTAGGGCGTGTCCCTACGGCCCCTTATCAGGCGAACCTCTTGTCAGATTCGCGTCGCAACGCACTGGAACACATGTAATAACATTCGATCGCACTGAAACGCATGGAACCGCACAAGTATGACAAGAGGTCGGCTGATAAGGGGCCGTAGGAACACGCCCTTAGGGTAACTAGACAAATCATCACCATTTGATGTAATTCTGTAACCTGGACCCAATAATGATCTCGATCCATCTGAAGGTCTGAGTGTGCATGAAGGTTGGTGATAATCTGGTTACCTACGATACCAGATCTTATTGAACACAGCTAACAAACCATTAGTCATCAAAACTGGTGCACCTTTAATTTACAGTTTCACATCAACAAAAAAGAGTGTCTAAACCTATGGACGGAGGACTCATCGCCGGCCGCTGGCTTCCTCAGCAGCCAGGTCGAACATCCGCTCCAAGGCATTCATGTTCTCCAACGTCTCACTCACTGTCCTCGCGTCACTGCCATCACTCCTGAGGTGGGTCATGGGTCCGTGGAGAATCTTGTTCACAATACCCTTGCTCAGCTCCTCAATCAGCTTCTTCTGCTTCTTAGTCGGCTCCTCGCCCATCTTCGCCAGGATTCTGTCCAGCTCAGCCTGTCGAATGCCCTCAATCTTCTGCCGGAGCTTCTTAATGGTCGGAACCGTCTCCAGGGAATCCCTCCACGCGTCGAAGGCCTGAAGCTCCTCCTCAATGATAGCCTGAGCCTCAAGGGCCTTCTTTCTCCGCTCCTCCTTGTTGGCAGCAACCACCTCCTTCAGGTCATCGACGTTGTACACCCTGGTCTGCTGAACGTTGGCCACGCAGGAACCAACATTGCGAGGGACGGAGATATCGATGAAGTGCCTGACGCCGTTGGTCAGATCGCCAGCAGGGCCGAGGCCCTGAACGTTGGACTCCTCGAAGAGAAGAGTCTCCGAAGCTGTGCTGGTAAAGACAACCTCAGCCTCAGCCGCTGCTTGCATCATCTCAGGAAGAGGCCTGTAGAGAAGCGTGGCGTCCGGAAATTCAGACTGCAGCGTCTCTACACTGCCTAGGGACCTGTTCACAACGGTCATGGTGTTGCAACCCTTAGAGAGCAGATGCTTCACAAGGAGACGTGACATCTTCCCAGCGCCGACGATCATGACGCGAGCTTCCTTCAGGCCAGCTTCGGGAAGCTTCATCGCGGCGAGCTCAACGGCAGCAGAGCTGACGGACACGGCACCCGAGGCGATGCTGGTCTCAGTACGCACACGCTTGCCGGCCTCGATCGCCTGCTTGAAGAGACCGTTGAGATTGCGTCCAAAGCCCTCGGCTCCCTGGCCAACCTTGAAGACCTGCTTCACCTGAGCGAGGATCTGACCCTCTCCGAGCACCAGGGAGTCAAGGCCAGAAGAGACGCGGAGAAGGTGCTGCGTAGCGTCCCTTTGACGGAGCAGGAAGAGATGCGGGCGGAGCTCTTCAACGGGAACACCGCTCGACTGTAGGGAGGTACGAAGGGAAAATACGAAAGGAAAGGACTAAATGGACGGAACAGTCTTTGAAAACCTATGAGATGAATGGTGATCATGCTGCACGGCTTGATTTGTGAAGCAGAATCAGCTTACCTTTGACATCCACTCAGTGACCTCGCGAATGCCCCTGTGCCAGGAGAGCGCCACGACGTAGATTTCCATGCGGTTGCATGTGCTCAGAACACCAGCTTCCTCAATGTGGGGGTACTCGCAGAGCTCTGTAATGGCACGTGGCCACTCGGCTTCAGGAACGGCGAGCTTCTCACGCATCGAAACGGGAGCGGTGTGAACGCTTAGACCGACGACAATGATGCTGCTCTTCTCGCTCGTGTACCCTGAAGCGCAACAGGGGTAGGATGGAACAATGTGTGATTATCTGAAGGAATTAATCTTCCGTTGCGGTCATGGTTTCAATTCGGGAAGCAAAAGCGAACTGTGAGTGAACACAAAAGGTTCAGCACGTACTGTTTGTATTGGAGACCCTCAATTGCTCGAGAGCGGCAGCGCTGCTAGCTCGGAGCTTGTGAGTCCTGGGAGGGCCAGACGACAGGGAAGCTGAGACGGGAGCGATTGTCCTGGCGACAGGAACGGCCTGACGATGAGCGGCATTAAGCTTCTCCCCAAGCAACGAGCTTTCCTTGAGGTGAACCTGCTCCTTGGCCTTGAAGGCCTCCACACCTTCCGCGCGGGGAAGGGTGGAAATCCCACGAGCAGCAACATAGCTGACGGAAGCCATGTCGGGCTTGTCGGGACAAACCAGTCAGAAAGGAAGACTGACGACTGGGGGAAGGATCGAAAAATCGATCACCTCGTGCAAGCTAACCTCCAACGGTTAGCTTTCCTCGAGTAAAGACGACACGAGGAGAGCTCGTCGGAGAGTTATGGCTGCCGTGAGATAAAAGATCCAGGAGTGTGTCAAGCGGATGTCATACAGATGACTGGGCAGAGCAGAGTTTCCTAGGCGAAACCAGCCTTGGGGGAAGCGGTAGCAGCTGGCTCCCCAGTTGCACAGGGAGCATCCTGGCTAGGCTGCCTGGCTCGGCTCGCTTCTCCAGGCAAGGGGGCATCGTGTTCGCCGGATTCAGTCGCCAATAACTGTGGGGTCATGGAAGTGCGAATCTGATTCCTCATTCGCTGTCGGGATCACGAAAGCGAGCCACGTCGGATTCAGTGACTCTGGAGGCGACCACGTCATTGGACCGCTGTTGGTAAGGTTGATGAGCTCTGGGTGACACCACGACCCCCAGCACTTTCGGGGTGCTTGTGACACCACCAGAGCTTCAGGCTTGGAATATCAAAATTACCAGGCCTAGCCTCGAAACGCAGTCATAGAAGGAGAAAATCACTCGCCATCTTTCGCACTGATTCTGGAATGTCTACATGTTACAGGGCCACTTCTGCTAGCAACCCTGTTGAACTTTTAACAAAAGAGAATGCCGTTTTTTACCCAAACAGATGAAAAATCCCAAATCTGCTATGCAAAATATGGTTCATGCCTCTTGCACAGCTTACATCCTGGTGAATGTATGTCATAAAACAAGTGGACCATGCAGTATGCTCGAATTGGGTATGGGACAAGTACGTACGAATATACAACAAGAAAACACAATGTTTCTCTTACACGTTCTACATGATGCAAGTAGTTTCCAAACGGTCCATGCACTTATGGAACTCAACCAAGCGTTGCTGTGCATATGACATGTAGTCAAACCCTGCATCTGACACTGCAGCCTGCACATATAAAGCCGAGGATAACAGGAAAGGTGAAAAATGAAGGTGAACACATGCGTAAAACCACCAAAGGAAATGCTTCCCAACACCATCATTCATGAGGCACCCCCAAAAACAAGCGCAGTAACTTACCGAAATAATGCCCCACAGGAACCAATGTAGATGGCACACAGGAAGAAACACATCCACTGCTTGCATCAGCTCCTCAGCAACACTTTCATCGAGGCTGCTTGTAAAGGGGACACCCCTTCTAGTGGTGCTGGTTTCACTAGCGCTTAAACATGCATCAGCAGGAGAGGTAGGATTGGCAGCAAGGTAGCAGTTAATAAACCACCGTTGCTCATCCTCAGCTGAAAGCAAATAGAGCGGAGGACCAGAATAGCCAGAAGAAAGGGAGGAAGGGGAGGACAGTAGGGGGTCGGTTGGCACAATAGGGGATTTCGCAGCTAGTGTGGCGTGGTTTCGAATGGTATGGTGTGGTGTGGTGTGGTGTGGTTTGAAAGTAATATGGGAGGGAATGACAAAGTCACTTGAGCAAGGATAATATCTTCTATACTTCATGGCTTGGTGGCGCCGATGTTCACATGCGAATGCTGACAAGGATGTGATTCATTCCAGGAACAGCTTCTAGAACCAGGTCAGCAAAACAGCTCCCAGAAACACCTCACAGAAGCAGCAAACAGAAAGAGCTTTCAGGGCACCTGCTGTAGCGCCCTCACAGGGACCGCTTACAGGGGTACTTGGAGTAGTCGAGGAGGTGTGGGTGCGGGCGGTCGTAGTCAGCTGCCATCTCACAGAAGTGGTTGGCAATGTCACACGCCACGTGTGCATAGCCACTGTACTCGTAGTCCTGAGCGGGTGGATAATGGGCGAGGCGACGGACATGATGGGAGGAGGGGATGGAACGGGACAGGAGCGAGGGAGGGAGGATGCAGAAAGCACAAGCTGTACTTTTAGTCCTGAATGGTGGGAGATGGAGAGGGGGCGAGGTGAGGTGACGGAACGGAACAGGACAGCAGCAAGTGAAGGGAGGATGCAGAAAGCTCAAGTGGTTGCCTGCCACATGGCAGGTGCATGCACGTCCCTGCCACTTGCCCAGTTTTTGAAACGTCTCGAAGTTTTATTTTTGTTTCAGACGTCTCAACACTTGCCTGCCGCAGCAAGCACATCCCTGCCACGTGCCCACCAACCAGGCACCACCCAAACCCAGGCCAAACAGTACAGGCAACCATAACGAGAAACCAGAACTGCTTACAATGAGGATGATCCTCCCCGTGCCTCTCTCCTGCAGTATGTTCCCGTGTTGCACATCCATGTGACACAGCCCCACCCACCGCCCACTCTCCCCCCCTTCACTCCCCCCCTCCGCCTCCGCCTTCCCCTCTTCCTCCCCGCACCCCTCCCCCCACCGCCTGTGCGCCGCTGCCTCCAGCCTGTGAATCTTCTCCCCCAGCTGTCGTGGGTTTGCCCCGTGCACGCCCCAGGGGTGCAGCAGCTGCGCCAGGGATAGCCAGCGCCTGGGGGAGGGGAAGGCAAAGTGGAAAGTAAACTAAGGAAAACAAAGAGGAAGCAAGAGTGAGCGTGCTGCTGCCTCCAGCCTGTGAATCTTCTCCCCCAGCTGCCGTGGGTTTGCCCCGTGCACGCCCCAGGGATGCAGCAGCTGCGCCAGGGACAGCCAGCGCCTGAGGAAAGGAAGAGTGGCGGGCACAGGGATCAAATGGGTGCGGTTGTGGGAGGAGAGACACTGTGGAAGTACATCGGCTAAATCTGTATTTTAAGAATCCTAAAAAAAAAAAAAAAAAAAGCGGAGAGAGAGGGAGGAAGTACATCGGGCGACTAGTCATCCAGCGTTGGGGGGGTGCCTACAAAGACCGACTGACGGGCAAGAGAGAGAGAGAGAGACAACCAAGCAGGACCACCACCTCCTCCTTAAGTTCGATCCGTGGGGGGAGTGCCTGCACAGCGTTTCTATTCTAAGCTCCACAGCCCCCGACCTAAAGCAGGCAAGAGGCGACCTTCTGAGGTGATATTGAGACGCCTCAGAAGCCATTGCAAGTGCAAGACCTACTCGCAAGAAAGGGCACCGGCACAAGGGAGTAATGACCCACCCACCGCAGGCAGGATCACAAGCACGAGACGATCTCTCCCGGGGCACCTTGTGAGGCGCCTCAGACATTATGACCTACTGGCAGGTGAGTGGCACCAACTGGCGAGTGGCACCAACTGGCGAGTGGCACCAACTGGCGAGTGGCACCAACTGGCGAGTGGCACCAACTGGCGAGTGGCACCAACTGGCGAGTGGCACCAACTGGCGAGTGGCACCGACAAGTGAATAAGCGATGGCCTACCGCAGGCGGGACCAGAGGCACGAGGCGACTTTCCCAGGTGCAGTGCCTGGGAGGAGGAGCGCATGGAAGTGCCGCATGCACCGTGCGCTCTGCCGTAATGTCTCTGCTTGCCTCATCTCCCCTGCTGTCAGTGGCTGTGTGTTGGGAGGGGGAGGGGGAGGGGGAGGGGGAGGGGGAGGGGGAGGGGGAGGGGGAGGGGGAGGGGGAGGGGGAGGGGGAGGGGGAGGGGGAGGGGGAGGGGGAGGGGGAGGGGGAGGGGGAGGGGGAGGGGGAGGGGGAGGGGGAGGGGGAGGGGGAGGGGGAGGAGAGTAAGGAGGGTGGAGGGACACGTTGAACACAAACTCGTTTCTATTGTCGCGTCAAGCAAACATGACCTAGGCACGAAACAAAGTGAAACGACCTCCCTCCAAGGTGAAGTGCCTGGGAGAAGCAGCGAGTGAGAAGTGCCTCATGGACCATGCGATATCAAGGGTATTCAAGGCAATATCAAAGTCTAAATCTCACTCACCTTGGCTTGCAGAAACTCCTCCACCCTGCCAGTGCCGAACGAGGCCAACAGCTTCGGTCCCAAGCCTAGGTCGGACATGGCTCGGGTGACTGCCTCCTCGTGTTCCCTCTGAAACAGCATTGTTGTCGCTGGGCCATACAGCCGCACCAACACCCGCTTCTCTCCTGAATGGTCCTCCTCCTCCTCCTTTGACTCCTTGGCTTTGCTCTCCCGTGGCTCGTTCTTCCTGGTAGGCACCCACACACACTCGTATACCTACGCAGAATGCGGAGAACGGGGGACAGCAAATGAAGAAATTGGAAATTGAAGCCGTGATTGGCCAGGTAGAATTGTGCACAGATGGCAGCAAGGTCCAGTGGCTACAGTATTCGCTGCCTTGCCTACCACATACAGCAAGATGTAGAACGAAAAGAACATAAGACCGCCCCAAATAAGAGTGACACGAAGGTAGAAGATATGTTGCCATGCTTAATCCGACACCACAAACTGACCCAGTCGTCGTCCTCTCGTCAACCTGTTCTTCATGCTTGCATGCACTCATGCACTCACCGTGTTGGTCATTGCTGCACTCATGGGCTTCAGAACCACATCACCTCCCTCCAACGCCTCATCTTCGTCCCCCTCCTCCCCAGCTCCCTCTCCCTCCCCTCCCTCCCCCCTATGCAACCCTCTCTGGTTTTCATTCGTCTCCAAAACATGCCCATCAGGAATTCTTCCTCCCACTGCCTCCTTGCTCCTCCATATCTTCCTCACAGCTCGTAAAGCCGGGCGCAGTGACGAGATCGCAGCCGTCGCCTGAGATCTGACGGCTGAAATCGAACCCTCAAGAGGCTCCTGACTCTGTTGCAATCCAGGCCGTTCAGTAAGCTCCGTGCTCACTCGCGCATCCAATTGCAACTGCTTTGGCAAGTCAGCATCGGTAAGAGCAGGACCAGCACGTCTACCAAGATCAGCAGAACCAGCAGGACGATCTGCAAGTCTGTCCTCTTCGCTAGGTTTGTTTGCAAGTGCGCCATGATACCTGCTTCCGCGAGACTTGATTGCAACTGATTCACTGATAAGATCATTAGCACCCAATTCCTGAATCTTATAATCTTGCATCTCTCCACCACCCGATGTGCTTTCCTCGCGCGTGCTCGTGACTGCAGGTACGCGGCCAAGCCCCACGTCGTCATTCCCAAGGTTCACCACCTTAACTTGCGACGTTTTCCTTGTAACCAGCACCATTTCGCACTCCAAAAGAAACTGTTCGTCAATATCGCTTTCCTGATCCTTCTGGTGCTGGAGTCGCAGCGAAAACTCTTCGTCAACGTTCTCTGCCGACAGCGTGATTGTGGGAATGTCGAAGGCCGCTTCGACGGAGTCGGCTCGGTCAAGACCTCGCGAGCAGCGGAGCGCCGTTAGCACGCCACGGGGAGAAAGAAACTCGGTATAAGATGAAGCGCTACACGTTAGATAATCCTCCATGGTTCTTGACAACCTTCATTCTTCTCCACCGGAGGAAAGACCTGAGCGGACGAGCCTTACCAATCGCACCGTTAACGATATCTTGTGTCGCTACTGAAGGACAACATGCGTGGCTGAGAATGAACACCAACCACACGCAACGGACCCCTAACTATAGAAATGGAAGAAGCAGCTTCAAGAACGATTGAGGGGTCTGGAAATCCGAAGAGCACGCAACGTTTGAGTGATGCGGATAAATTGGAAGACACTGCTAAAATCGAAGAGTAGACAGGCAGACAGCACTTGATTCACACACCGAATGGCCTTGCGGAAAGTGAATTCGCCCTGCGTGTTGCAACGAGTCCCAAGTTCTCCCAATGAGGGAGACAGCCGCCACAGCGGGGGCTGCATCACATGCAGGGCAGCGAGTGCCTGCGGCTGGGCTGTGCGTGCATGGCGGAGCGGGCGATGTGTAAAGCGTGACGCCCTGAAATGCGGGATGGACGGGGAGGATGATGTGAGATTTGGCTCATGCCTGGGTTTGGTGCGTCGCTGCCATCGTTACAATCACAAGCTCGAGTTAGTCACCTGACAGCACGAATGGTCCACGTGGTCGTAAGGCACAGGTCGATACATGGAGCAACTATCCAGTCGTTCCGTACGGTTTCGTCTTTCACAGAAGCGTACTCCCCACACGTCGCTGCCGTTTCTTTTGACCCAGGTTCAGTGTACCTTTCGAGGTTGAATCGCCAAAGCTGACTCATCGTGTCATAGGTCTGACAAACCCACCCCCTCACCCCCACGCAAAGCAGGCTCTCATTGGTCACAATAGTTGAGCCACAAGTGGCATCTCTGGAACTTGATGTGGAACGAACTTGTCCCCGCCCGAAACTAGCACGAAGAGCCAACCAGAGTGGCGCAATCTCGCAAATGGTTTCGGCACGGGTGAATCTGAGCATCGACGAAAGTGGTTACCACTTGGGTCTCTATTCTCCAGCTGATGAGACCTCCACTCCCATGTTCCACTTGACGCCCTTTCGCCAATCAGCAGAGCCAAAGAAAGCTCCTTGCTAGCTTCCCTTCCATCCCAAAGGGCGACCTATTTGCGGTTCCCGTCATCCGCTCCTTCAACAGCTATTTCCTTATCCCAGTCAGGGAACAAAACTGGCTGGTTGATCAGGTGCGTGAGGTGCAAAATTATGCGCTGATTCGTATCATTATGTCCAGGTTCACATCATCGTTCTCTCTCCCAGCCATGCTGTCTGTGACTGACACAACTGCAGTAGAGTAGTAGCAGGTATTCGCTGTCGCCGCCACTCGAACATCGTCCATGACGTACAACCATAAGTAGTTTCGTAATGCTGCACTACGTCAACTGCTTGTGTATCGCTGCTCATTTAGCATCTACCTCCAGGCTTTCACGCGAACGCCCTATAATTTCACATGCAAATTACTCGATTACCTGATAGTGTTGCATTCTGTGAGACATTCTGTTTGCCTTGATCCTTGTGATCGATTAGGTAGACAAATTGACTCCACCGCCAATCGGCCATGTTACCTGCTTCGTTGCCCATATCAAACTGCTGGCATCGCCAGCCGTCGCATCAGTATCGCCATGCCGTCGCATGCCTTTCCCGATTGCTCCTCCCGCACGTCGCTCGCAGCGTGCGACGCTGCGAGTTCCATGACGCCAGCCAATCCTTAGAGCAGTGGCTCTTCCGGTCGCGAAGCCTCCCTGCTGCTGTCGATCGTGCATCGTATCGCGAAGACCTCGACGAAACCTATGTTCGAGAGCAGGGAGCCGATCCAGCTGTTACAGGTGACACTTCAACAAAATTCGCATCGGAATGTAACGCAGCACTGCCGTACGGCGATGCGAACGTGGCAAGGGAGTTCCTTCCCAAGTCACGCGGCCGTGAACTCGACGCTTACTCAATCCTCTCCTCGCAAACCCCTAATTACTCGCTCGTGCGGCAGGCTCCACCCCCACTCCCCTCAACTCAAGACCTGACCCTCCCTCCCTCCCTCCTCGCTTACAAATGTCAGCCCGACCGTTCCTTATCTCCCCGTCTGACCCATTTGACGTTTGGAATTTCCCGACGGTTGGATTCTTCCGATCCGTCGCACCGCCACCGTCGATCTCACCATCCTTCTCACCGTCCGTCTCTCGAGGCGCGGTTCCATCACTCTCTCTCGACCTCCCGCGTTCGCGACTCGTCGATGCACGACGAGCCGCCCCACCAGCTGCAGCAGCCGCGTCAGCAGCGGTACGCCGCGAGCCTCGCGGCTGCAACGGCGGCGCGGGAGGAAGAGGACGACAGGATGGACGCGGAGGAGGAGAAGGAGGAGGAGGAACGAGGGGAGGAGGAAGGCTACCGAGAGAAACGTAAGGAACGGGGGGAAGGAGTGGAGCGAGAGGAGAAGGCGACATTAACGCAAGGGGAAGGCGTGATTAATTCTGATCCTTCTACTACCATAATCAGACCATCTGGCATAGAATACCCGAAGGCGGGATTAGCCATGGCTGACGGTGCTAGTGCCGGGGAGGAAGTCGTGACGGACGTGTTGACGGACTCGTTCGGGCGGCAGCACAGCTACCTGCGCATCTCGCTGACAGAGAGGTGCAACCTGCGGTGCTCCTACTGCATGCCCGCCGAAGGCGTGGAGCTCACTCCGAAAGAGTGAGTGGTAACGGTGAGGTGAGGTGATGCCAATGCAGGTGCAGCGCGTGGGTTGGGTTGCTACTGGGAATTTGTTTTTGCGAGCGCAAGTGCGTGCGAGAGGTGCAGCCTGCGGTGCTCCTACTGCATGCCCTCTGAAGGCGTGCAGCGTACGGTGAAAGAGTGAGTGGTGTCGGAGAGGAGAGAGATGTGGCTGTAGCGGCAGAACATGGTCGGAAAGTCTGGGTGTGTGAGCACGAGTGCATGTGTATGTCGGAGGTGCAACCTGCGGTGCTCCTACTGCATGCCGGCCGAAGGGGTGGAGCTCACTCCGAAAGAGTGAGTGGTGTGAGCACGAGGCATGATATACTTTCTGATTCCCAACTTTGTTCCTCCACTCCACACACCTCCTCCCCCCCCACTCGTCTCCACCCACTAATTCAAGCCCCCTCCCTTCCCCTCTCAATGCTTGCCACTACTGCGTGCAGACACTTGCTTTCAACGGACGAGGTCATTCGCCTGGCGGCTGTGTTTGTGTCGCAAGGCGTAACTAAGATCAGGCTCACAGGCGGCGAGCCCACAGTCAGACGAGACATTGTGGACATTTGCCAGTCGCTCTCCGCCCTGCCAGGTATGTATGCGCTCATCTCAGCCAGGTGTGTATGCTCTCTCTGCTCTGCAAGGCGTGACTAAGATAAGGCTCACAGGCGGCGAACCCACAGTCAGACGAGACATTGTGGACATTTGCCAGTCGCTCTCCGCTATGCCAGGTATGTATGCGCTCATCTCAGCCAGGTGTGTATGCTCTCTCTGCTCTGCAAGGCGTGACTAAGATAAGGCTCACAGGCGGCGAGCCCACAGTCAGACGAGACATTGTGGACATTTGCCAGTCGCTCTCCGCCCTGCCAGGTATGAATGCGCTCTCAACAGAGGACGTGCATCAGAAATTGCAGGGTGTTTTTGAGAATTCTGCAGGGTGTTTTTGAGAATTCTGCAGGGTGTTTTTGAGAATTCTAAAAAACTCTCCGCCCTGCCAGGTATGAATGCGCTCTCAACAGAGGACATGCATCAGATATTAGAGTCAACTAAAAAATATGAATGCGCACTCAACAGAGGACAGAAATCAGGCTGACAGGCAGCGAACCCACAGTCAGACGAGACATCGTTGACATCTGGTAGTCGCTCTCTGCTCTGCCAGGTGTGTGTATGCGCACTCAGAAGAGGTCTAACACACAATGCGTACCAGGCTGCTGTACGGATTCTCAAACACAACAATGAGGCCATGCTCGCACATGATTGGATACCATGAGCTGAGCATGAATTACACATGCGTTGAACCGTGAACGTGAGTTGCACCCACGCCTCGTTTCATTGCTCTCTCTCTCTCTCTCTCTCTCTCTCTCTCTCTCTCTCTCTCTCTCTCTCTCTCTCTCTCTCTCTCTCTCACCCCTCTTCTCTCGCCCTAACGTCCAGGCCAGGCCTTGATTGGCTGGCTACCCATACTCTCCCAGCACACGGGTTGCCTTGCCTCTCCAGTCTTCATCTGCGTACTCACACTCACACACACACTCACACACACACTCACACTCACACACACACTCCCACACACACTCACACACACACACACACCAACCTATCTGCACATATCTCAACACCCTGGCACACTGCTTCCCTCAACACCCCTCAATGCTTCCCTGACGACTCTCATGCCCTTTCCGTCCCTGATGCCCCTGCCACTCTCGCCACCCCTCTTCTGCATGCACTCCCTCTGCCTGCCCCATCCTGTGCCTCAACCCCAGCCTGTGCCCCTGCTGCTAGCACACGGCTCAGCACCCAGCCCAGGCACGGGGCCCAACCTGTGCTCCTGCTGCTACCGTGCTTCCGACAGCATGTGCTTCCGACAGCATGTGCTGCCGATTTTTGAGGCGCCTCATAACCTGGCATCTCTCATCTCCTTCTGCCCCTGCCCCTGCCTGCCTGTCCCCACAGGGCTCAGTCAGCACCCTGGCTCTCGGATCAAACGGCATCCTCCTGCCGCCCAAGCTGCCAGCGCTGAGGGAAGCAGGTCTGACCCACCTGAACGTCAGTCTAGACACCCTCCTGGTGGAGCCCAGGTGCCGCCTCTCCTTCTCTCCATGCCTTCCCTGTGCCCCTGCCTCTGCCCGTGCCTATCCCCACAGGCCTCAGCACCCTGGCTCTCACATCAAACGGCATTCTTCTTCCCGCGAAGCTGCCAGCGCTGAGGGCAGCGGGCCTCACCCACCTGAACGTCAGTCTAGACACTCTGGTGGAGCCCAGATTCGAGCTTCTCACCTCCCCATGCATTCCCTCGGCCCCTGCCCCTCCCCTTGCCTCTGCCCCTGCCTGTCCACACCCACAGGGCTCAGCACCCTGGCTCTCACATCAAACGGCATTCTTCTTCCCGCAAAGCTGCCAGTGCTGAGGGAGGCGGGCCTCACCCACCTGAACGTGAGCCTGGACACCCTGGTGGAGCCCAGGTTCGAGCTGCTCACGCGCAGAAAGGGGCATGCGCGCGTCCTTAAAGCCATGGACATGGCTCTGGATCTGGGCTTTAAGCCGCTCAAGGTGAGAGTTCCCATGGTCCCACCTGAACGTGAGCCTGGACACCCTGGTGGAGCCCAGGTTTGAGCTGCTCACACGCAGGAAAGGGCCACGCCCGCGTGCTCAGAGCTATCGACATGGGTCTGGATTTGGGCTTTAAGCCTCTCAAGGTGAGATGGGTTTATGGTGCATGGGCTTGTTTCAATCTGTCTGTCCTTATGGCAAGTTCCCTGACAAAGGAACCGCCACAATCAGCTTCTGATGCACCTTAAAAAAAAAAATATTTCTGCCAAGTTTCCTGAGAAGCAACCGCTACGATAAACTTTTTTGCCTTCCCCTCCATTCCCCCTCCCCTTACCCCTTCCCTCCGCCTCCGCCTCCGCCTCCCTCTTACCCCCTCCCTTCCCTCCGCCTCTCTTCCGCCTTTCCTCTTGGCAGCTCAACTGTGTGGTGATGCGAGGGGTGAACGACGACGAGATTCTCGACTTTGTGGGTCTCACCAGGGACCGCCCCATCAACCCACTCTCGTCCTTTCCTCTCCTTCCTCCCCTCCCCCCTTTACCCTCCTCCCCACAACCCCCCCCCCAAACCCACTACAGCTCAACTGTGTGGTGATGCGCGGGGTGAACGACGACGAGACTCTCGACTTTGTGGCGCTCACAAAGGAGCGTCTCACTCACCTCTTCCCTGTCCTCTCATTTCCACTTTTCTCTCTGTTCCGCCTCTCCACCCAACCCCCTCTTCCCTTCTCCCACCCCCCCCCTATCCCTGTTGCAGCTTAACTGTGTGGTGATGCGCGGGGTGAACGACGACGAGATCCTGGACTTTGTGGCGCTCACCAGAGACCGACCCATCAACGTGCGGTTCATAGAGTTCATGCCGTTTGACGGCAACGTGTGGAAGACCAAGAAGATGGTGCCTTACGCTGAGATCATGGCCCGCATTGTGAGTGCCTGGAGGCGGGGTGGGTATGGTTGAGGAATGGGTGGTGAAGATGTGGGGAAAGGCTGGGGAAGAAACTGGTAAGGGTTTTGGAAGGGGGTTGGGAAGGGAGGGGAGGGGTGGGGAAGCAGCACCGTCCCGACATTTCCCACCTCATTGACCAGCCTTCCAGCCTCTCTCTCCCCGCTGTTTCCAACTCCGCCTCCTCCTGTTTTCCCTTCCCCCCACCTTCTCGTTGCCCCCATCCCCTTCATCTGAAACAGCACCATCCCAACGTTGCTCGCCGTTCCCGTAGGACCTCTCCGCACCATTCCCAACACAATTCCGCCTCTCCCAACCCACCCCCCCCCCCCCCCCCCCCCCCCCCCCTCCTCGTTTCCCCTCCCCTACCTCATCTCAGAAGCAGCGCCATCCTGACACCACCCGCCTAAAGCACCACCACCCATCCCACATCCCCCCACCATTCCCAACTCATCCACTTTCCATTCCCCAACTCCCCACTCCCCCACTCCCTCATTTCAGAGGCAACGCCATCCCGACATTGCCCGCCTCAGGGACCACCCATCTCACCTCTCCCCACCATTTCCATCCTCCCCACCTCTTGCTTTCCCCCCCTCCCCTCTTCTTTCCCCCCCCCGGTCTTCAGAGGCAACGCCATCCCAGCATTGCCCGCCTCAGGGACCACCCATCTGACACGGCGAAAAACTTTCAGGTGCCTGGATTCGCGGGCAGCGTGTCGGTGATTTCGTCCATGACCAGCCACTTCTGCTCCGGCTGCACTCGCCTGCGCCTGCTGGCCGACGGGAACCTCAAAGTCTGCCTGTTTGGCCCCAATGAGGTGAGTTACTGTTGGGTGGAGGGGTGGCCTCTGTGCCTGTTTGGGCTAAACGCGGTGAGTACTGTGACCTGAGGTGAGTACTGTGACCTGAGGTGCCTGGGTGTGTGTCAGTGCTCTCGTCCATGACCACTTACTTCTGCTGGTCGATGGGAACCTCAAAGTGTGCCTGTGTGGGCTAAACGAGGTGAGTACTGTGACCTGAGGTGCCTGGGTGCCTGGGTGTGATCCGTCCATGACCAGCCACTTCTGCTCCGGCTGCACTCACCTGCGCCTGCTAGCTGACGGGAACCTTCAAGTGTGTTTGTTCGGGCCCAATGAGGTGAGCGCAACGCGGCACAAAATGGTACACTTATACTCTCACAGTCTTGTGCACTCGTTTCCACATATTTACACAGTACCTCCGCTACCTTCCAACTTCAATGCTTTGTCTGTTGTTCATTCCATTCGTTCCCGACAGGTGAGTCTGAGGGATGCGCTGAGGCAGGGAGCAACGAAAGAGGAGCTGCTCTCCCTAATCTCTGCTGCGGTACGTCACCACCCTGTGTGCTTCGACTGAACGATGCTGTGTGTGCGCGGTGTGGAGTGGAGTGGTGTGAGTGTGTGGTATGGCAAGGAGCAACAAAGGAGGAGCTCCTCTTCCTCATCTCTGCTGCGGTAGGTCACCACCCTGTGACCGTGTGGTGTGGTGTCACTTGGTATGGTGTGGTGTGCTGACAGTGCTGTGAACGTGTGGTTTGCGTTACGTGTCGGCCAGGTGGATTTGTGAGTCTGAGGGATGTGTTGAGTCTGAGGGATGTGTTGAGTCTGAGGGATGTGTTGAGTCTGAGGGATGTGTTGAGGCAGGGAGGGAGTAACAGTAGGGATTGTTCTTAGCCCTTAAAGGAACACAAGTGCGTATTGAATCATGTAACACGGGCATCATTCTCTGTGTTCTTTCGCCTTTTCCTGTTATATCACGCTGGCTGTCAACCCGACAGGTGAAGCGGAAAAAGGCTGCGCACGCAGGCATGCTAGAGATTGCTAGAACACACAACAGGCCGATGATAACCATTGGCGGTTAGGATGATGTGATCATTGGCTGTAATTGCCATGTTCGATGTAAGATGAGCAGAGACAATGGTTGAGTGTACCTCTTTCTGATTGAGCCATAGAAGGTGGAAGAGAATCAAATTATCGGAAGGGATTGCCAATTGAAACAGTGGGACAAGAACCAGGAAGATAGTTGTTACCCGAGATGTTTACAGAGATGCGAGAAGAAACAGGGGGGAGTAGTTTGAAGCAAGCTACAGGTTCTATTGGTCATTTCCAATGGATGCCGCCCAGCCAGGGGACTTTTGATTTTAATAATGTTGTTATGGTATGTTACAGTGAAGGGGCAAAAAGATTGTGTACACAGACATTGTGTTTTTTAAAATTATGTATTGTGAAAGCGAAGCTGATTGTACTGCACAATTGGCATCGTCAAAGCGCGCTAAACGTCCTTCTCCAACTACAAAAACAGTGGGTTGGAGTTCATTTCCCTCCACCCACGTTTCTCAATTTTCAAACGGCTCACTAAACATTTCCGCTCACGTAGTTTATCCCTCCCTCCAAGCTGGCTAGAAGAAACTCGCTTCCTAGAGGCGAGTCACCCTCGACTTTACTCAGCGACATTTTTAACTTCAATCGCTCAACGATGGCACCGACGCGACACTTAAAGCCAGCAGGCAAAATAGTGACCCCCCCCTTCTAGTTGGGTCCACCCTGGGAAGGGAGGGGCGAGAGAGAGGGCGACGGGAAGGGAGCGGAGAGAGAGAGCGCGACGGGAAGGGAGGGGCGAGAGAGAGGGCGACGGGAAGGGAGCGGAGAGAGAGAGCGCGACGGGAAGGGAGGGGCGAGAGAGAGGGCGACGGGGAGAGAGAGAGCGCGATGGGAAGGGAGGGGCGAGAGAGAGGGCGACGGGAAGGGCACGGAGAAAGAGAGGGCGATGGGTAGAGGGGCGAGAGAGAGGTTGACGGGAGGAGAGGAGGGGAGAGAGGGCGACGAGATGGCGACGTGACGCGCGACGGAATGGGAGACGGGAGGGCGATTTGGCAAACTCGAGGAAAGCGTAGTGGGCAATGAGAGGGGTGAGAGGAATGGCGACGGGAATGGGGTTCTCTGTGATTGCGAGGAAAACATCACTACGCAGCTTCGGCGACGAAGTATCACACACAATCTAATGATCATTTCATTTCTATGCCGCATCAGCCTAATCCTTCGTCTCTGGCTATTCTATGCTAGGCAAGCTCCGTGAGTTAGGCAAGCTACGTGAACGGAGTTGAAGTAACCATATGTGGAACCCAGGCCCAGCTTGAAAGTCGAAGTTGGGTCCAACCATCAAAACGCACGACAAACAACTGTCGTGCAAATGTCGCATGCAGAAAATGCGAACGCGCGAGCACGATCAGAATTTTTGTTTTGGCGGGAACGAATCACGTGTGTTCAGTCTGTGGAAGGGCGATGCCCGGAACAGTGTTTTACACAGCCCAGCGTCGTTCCAGTTTTGCTTCTTCCGAGCACAATTTCAAGTTGGATCCGCCTTCACTATTTTATATTTCGGTTTTAACAACGGGAACTCGTCCAACCCCGCCTCCAACTCCGACCGTAACACCCGCGATTTGGCGGGCGAGCGCCGTAACAAGCGACGGGCAGAAGATGGACCGCCCGCCCAGACTGCAGTGGACGTGCTGCTGGGCGGGCTCGAGGTCAACAAAGCGGGCGACGCCCAGCAGCACCCTTCGGCGCCTGTGGCGCTAGTGGCACCTGCGGCGCAAGTGGCGACGGCTGCTGGCGCGGCACACGCCACTGACGCCGAGCACACGTCAGCACCCGCGGCTGGACCGTGGCGTCAGCGCCAGAGGAGGAGGACGATAGTCTCCTCATCTGACGCGACGACCACCCCTGCGTTGACGCAGGCGTTGACCCCGGACCAGGTCAACGTGCTATTGTCCCTTCTACAGCAGCAGCTTGCCAGTGTTACAGCCACGGAAACTGCACTACTCGCTGCATCTGCGTCGGCTAAAAAAGAAAATGCGAATAAGGAAAAAGGCACGCGAGGAGCAAGGACGAATTGGCACGACATTGACGCAGCGACAGCAGCACCCCCTGCTCCAGCTGGCGACAACGACACCGACGACTCTGAAGATGAAGCCGGTGAGGCTCCAGTCAACAATGTTAATTTTAATGGCACGGAACACCTTCCCCCCCTCCCTTCTTCTAACCTCACATTTTCGGCGGCGACATTTGTCAACGACTCCGTGCGAGAGCAAGCGGAGCTGCTGGAAGACTTGCGCGCATACCTGCTGCACACAAAATACAAGGCGCAGTGCGGGGACCCGGCGGGCGGACCCGAACTCATCTCGCACGCTCTGAACCTCATCTCGGGGCGTTTCGAGGTGCTTAAAGTGGAGGACGCCTCCGACTTCCGCACGGCGACGCGCTTCAAGTTGTACCAGCAGAGGAGCTTGCTGACTTCTCAACCCTTCAAGCAGGCGGTCGCGGACATAGCGTCGATGGACCGTGCGGCAAGCAGATATGCTCGTGTCAACCGCGGCGGAAACAACGCGCCGTTGCCGTTCTTACCCAAGCAGGGCCCCCTGCCCAGGGCCAATTGCCGCGGGTTTCGGGGCTCGTGCTTCCGCTGTGGCCAGCCGAGCCACGTGGCAAGTGCCTGCCCTAGGAACGGGCAAGGTGGCCAAGGACCCGCTCCGGTGGTGTAGGAGCGGGCCATGGGACTAGGCGCTTGGGCGCTAGGCACGGTGCACTATTGAGTGTGAAAACCGTGGGCAACCCTAGGGGTTTGCGATGGCAAGAGGCCAGCCCTAGTGAAGGGTAGGAATAGGCTTTGGGCCTAGGATAGGGAAGGGGAACAACAACTCCCTCGGTCCCATGTAGTTGGCCACTCGGTGGCGTGATGCATGCTAGGAAAGCATTGCTATGTGTGTTGGCTGATTTAATAAAAACTACCTTCTTCAAAGCCTATTGTTTTTTGCAAAGAGACTCTAAAACAATCAAGAGGAGGAGCAGAGAGAGGGAGAGAGAGAGAGAGAGAGAGAGAGAGAGAGAGAGAGAGAGAGAGAGAGAGAGAGAGAGAGAGAGAGAGAGAGAGAGAGAGAGAGATTGTTGCAGCAGAAAACCCGCCAGTGGGTGGAATAGGGGCTGAATTTCGTTTGGGAGATTGTTTTGCGGTGATTGAGCCCTTGGTTGAGCTCTAGACCAGGGTTGGTGTGCTAGCTAGTACCAGTTTGCTAAATAGGATTGTCATAGGATTGCCAACTATCTCTAGTTTGTTGCATGTACCCTTCCTACATCAATACACGGACCATTAGAGAGAGAGAGAGAGAGAGAGAGAGAGAGATATATATATATATATATAGAGAGAGAGAGAAGGGATACCTCAGACCTCTTCCCTCAGCCTCTTCCCTCTTCCCTATTCCTTCCCTGCCTACTTAAGGCCGCTGGCTCCCTGGTTCTGTCATTATTTCGCGTGTTCATTTTCGGCGGCTCGCGCCGTCGGCCTTCGGCCGTTGCCGCACAAGAACAACGCCTTATAAGGGGTACACGCATACCACGCAAGCAAGGGATTGGGGATCTACCTAGAGGAGCGGCATGCAATTTTATACTCGGCGGAAGCCTATATCGTGTACGGTTCCGCCCCCTCCACCTCAAGCATCGAGCGCATGCACGCCGACATCGCAAGAAAGAAGCTGCGCCGACGACTGAAGCGTGTGCACCGGGGCCCCGTCATGGGCAGCCGCAACAAGATCTTCCACGTGGCGGGGGAAGGTACGCGCTAAGGGCGCTACCCCGGCGGGCGCTTCCGACACGGGTGCCAAGATTGGGCCGAGAGCTTCTGCCCAAGACACGCACAATCCTCAAGGAGCTGGAGCGAAACTGCTCGGAGAGTTTCGCATGGCCCCACACACCGCCATCTGCAAGCTCGCCACCACCTCGGACGTCTCCGCAAGATTCAGCATCCGGCACATGGTCAGCATGGGGTCTCTCCCCGCGCGAGTGGGGGGGGGTACAATCGGAGCTTCGCGCGGAAACGCCGTCGCCCGGCCCGAGGCTCGGCCAACCGAGAAGTGCTGGGCGGAGAAGCCAGGGACCTGTCGAGGGATGCGGAACAGCGCCCTCCCCTCCCGCGCGGGCAGATACTCGCTCAATGTCGGCGCGCGTAGAGGAGCCGCTAGGTCAGGGGCCGGGGCGTGGGGAGGCCCATTGGTCACAGCAATGTGAACTTGAGTCGGCTCCCCACTCGCCTGCGCCTGGCGCACCGCTGCTGCCACCACGTTCACAGCCCGATCGACTGCACCATCGTGCCCGCGGCCGTTCCCGCCACGGCCCGCGCCATTCCGCCGACCCCGACGGCCACCAGACCCTGCCGAGTGCGGACGCGGGGGGGACTGCTCGCGGCGCCCAGAATCCCAGCGACGCCCAGGCGACCCCCTCCCCCGCCTCGGCGGAGATCGCCGCGGAGAGCGCTGCGCGGGGGATCGCGCTCGCGGTGAGCGCTGGGCTGCCCGACCTCGGGGGGATTGGTGGCGAGGAGAGCGAGGACTCGCTGGAGACAGCTGATCGCCAGCCCCATGGCGGCGAACTTCGCGATGCTCTGGGGAGCGACGGCGAGGATATTGCTGCCGCAGTGGCTGACGCGGTGGTGAACGCCCGTGCTCCTGACGAGGCGGACCTGCAGGGCGGTTGGACGCAACCCGAGCAGGGGCCCACGAATACTCCGGCGAGGGGGGCTGAGGGAGGCCCCGAAGAAGAAGAGACAGCCCGCGCTCGAAACGGCGGACGGGCTCACTTGCGGAGGGGCGTGCGGAGGGACGCGGACGAGGCGTGGCAGGTTCCTGCTCCTGCTGCGCGCTCTCCGCTGTACCCTCTAGCGCAGGATCATGACCCCGGGTTGGGTCCATTACGACCGATACCACCGCCACCAACGCCAGCGCACCGTCAAAGAGGGGGCGGTGTTGCCGCCGCGCCAATCGCGAGGCACTTGGGAGTAGCGAGAGAAAGAGAAACGCGGGGATTTCGTGTGGGACAAGGCAGCAGCCACCGAGGACGCGGGCGCGGCGCCACGACGCAGAGAAGAGGCGCGAGCAGCTTCGCGAAAGCAGCACAGCGGGTCCTGCGGCAGAGAGCTAGGGAGGGAGGAGAGACACTTGGTGACGAATCTGGGAATGGACCAGGGGGTGACCCTGACTTTATCCTTGAAAGGGAGGGAAGTTCAGATCCCTCCACAGAAGAAGAAGTGAAAGATGCGGTTGACACAACCCAGGGTGCAGGCCACAACCTACCTGGGGGTCGAACCGCATCTACAATTCGAACCCCCCGAAATCGGGCCGCAAGGGGAAACCGAGTCGCCCCCAACACATGGCTTACCACATCGCTAGCCAATAACCCAGCCCCCGAACCTGCCACCCCGGTCCCAATCATCAGCGCGGATGACCTGGCGACGCGCCAGGACCTCTTCGCCGACGTCGCCAACTGGGACCTCTGCCCACTGCGCGACAGCAGACAGCCCCCCCTCGCCCGCCACCCACCCCGTCCACTTCGCGAATCCTTCGCAATATGTCTGCTGACACCACTGCTGCACTTGGCAAAAAACCCAGACTCCTCCCCAGGCTGGAAGCTGCTGATGTTTCTCCCGCGTATTCTGCTGCGCGCCTCGTCAGCCTGTACACCTGATTAGAAAGCTATGGGCGCAATGTCAGAATCCCAACCACTAGACCATTGGGATAAAAGGGCTTGTTAAGTAGCGGGTCAGTGCGCCCATAACCCCTCAGGCGAATGCGCCTGTAACCCTCTCCAGGATCAATCGGGCATCCACAGTGCAGATCTACTGACACCCCCCCACACTGGGAGGCCCAGGACTAAGCACAGCAGCAACGGCCTACATGTGCATACACCGGGAATCGAACCCGAGACCGCTCTGATACCATGTTAAAGAACGAGGGATGGTGAGGAGCCATAGCTAGGGTTTAGCTAGCTAGGCAAGAGAGAAAAGAACAAAGGAGGGTTTCACTAGCAGCAGTTGGGATACATATAGCAAACCCTAACAGAGTTGTACTCGCTATAGAGCACCCCACTACAGGCTAGATAATAACATTCTGACACGCAAGGCTGACGCGATTCCGCCAATGCCAATGGCGTAACCTGTACGACGAGGCAGCTGACGTGGTTACCAGTAATCCCCAACCACGCCACGTACCTGACGTCACTGGCAAGCTCTCGCGGGCCGAAGGTTAGGCAAAAAGAGGGAACTTGGCGAAATCACTGCAGACTCTGACTGACACGCCCGTCTGCACGCCAAGCACTGAAGTCCTCAGCGCGCTCATAGCCAAACACCCAGACGCCACCGCGGCTGGGTACACGACTTCGCCCCAGAAAACGTCCCTTTCATCGCTGCCCAGGATTTCAGGCGACTGCTAGCAAAATTCCCCAACGGAGTAGGGGCTGGGCCCTCAGGCACTACCTTCGAGAACATTAGAGACGCGGCCCTTGGGAATGGAGACGTTTTCCTACAGCTACATGCACTTACCAACACAGCACTCGCTGGAAAACTGAAGGCAGACGTGGCAGATCTCCTAACAGCGTCGCGCTTACTTGCCTTCTCGAAACCGCAGGGCGGAATGCTGCCGATAGCTGTGGGTGAATGTCTACTACGCCTCATCGCCAAGGCGGCCCTTTTTTTGGCCGTTCCAGCAGCGCGCGAGCACTTCACCCCGCTTCAGTTTGGAGTAGCAATCGCGGGAGGAATAGAAGCGGCAATACACACCGCACGCAACTACCTGGAGGAGTTCCCAGGAGCAACGGCTGTGCAGATAGATCTAGCAAACGCCTTCAATGAAGTAGAGCGCGCGGCAGTGTTCGAGGGCCTGAAAGGCACCGACCTCGAAGTCTTGGTGCACCTCGTCCGATTCTCATACGGCAACTCATCAGCGCTCTATCTCGACCATGACTTTGGAGCGGAGCCACTCCAGAGTGCTCGGGACGTACGACACGGTGACCCGCTGGGACCCATGTTGTTTGCAGCCAGCATCCACCCTTGCCTCGTCCAATCGGCAGCGGCACATCCGGACGTGGTGTTTCTGGCGTATGCAGATGACATCACTCCGCTAGGGGAGGCGGCGAACTGCACGGCGGCGTTCGCACACCTCACAGAAGCCCTCCGCCTTCATGGCTTGGCCCACAACTCGGCAAAATGCGAGGCGTGGTCCGCAACTGCACTAGACCCCGCCACCTTACCTGCTGGCATCACGATTTCCCAGGACGGAGTCCACATCCTAGGCAGCCCCATTGGGCCTCCCAGCGGCTGTGCGGTTCGAGTACGCGAATGTCTCGCTGCAGCTACCGAACCTCTCATGCTCCTCTCCCAGATGGACCCCCAACTCTGCCTGCTTCTGTTCACCCGCTGCGTGAGCCGCCGCACCTCGTTCCTGGTTAGAGTCACGCCCCCCGAGGCCCTGCCGTTGGAGGAGTGGTCGGCCTAGGGGGAAGAACTGCTCCACACCTACCTGGCCGCGGCACATACGAGTATCCCCAGGGACCGGGCAGAGAGGGATAGGATCTGGCACCAGACCGCCTTGCCTACATCCCTAGGAGGCTTTGGCATCACCAACCCTGCAGTGGAAGGGAGATTCGCCTCCACTCACAATGCCTCGCGAGATGAGTGCGCGAAGATAGCGTCAGAAGAAGGCTTCACGGTACACAAGGAGACAACGACATACTCACCGGTCGAAAACCTCAAAGCAGATATCTCTATCCGCCATCCCGACACCGGTGCAATGTGGATCTGTGACATCACAGTCACAGACCCCGTCTCCCACCAGGACGAGCACGCTCGTAAGGCGCCCGGGTGGGCGGCTAGGATGCAGGCGGACAAGGAGACCAAATATGCAAGGCGGAGCCCGTGGGTGGGCTTCTACGCCATGGCCGTGGAGACTTACGGCTACCCCTCACCTGGAGTCCTCGATTTCCTTCGCAGCCGCGCGAAGCTAGCGGCAAAGTGGCAGTTTAACGTCACCCCAAAGTCAAGGAAGGTGGCGAAACTACTCGCCGATGGAGCGTGACCCTGCAGAGAGCCCAGGCCAACGCCCTCAGGGATAAGACCCATGAGGCTCTCACGACGGATGTGAAAGGCCTGCAGGGACCGTTCACTCCACTGAGCGAGGGCCAGCTGTACCAATTGATAGAAGACCCCTCCGGCCACTAGGGCCGGAAGGGGAAGGGGCGGCCTTAGTTGTGTTAGGGTAGGAGATTGCTGCAGTAGCTTTGCTGCCTTACCCTGTGTGTACCTTGGTGATATTAACACGACGGACCATTCGAGAGAGAGAGAGAGAGAGAGAGAGAGAGAGAGAGAGAGAGAGAGAGAGAGAGAGAGAGAGAGAGAGAGAGAGAGAGAGAGAGAGAGAGAGGAGATCGGCGAAAACCGCACGCCTGGAAGGCACAGCCCAATCGCGGGGAGTGGCACACCTGGCGGACGACGTGGAGGCGGGAGAGGACGCCGAGGAAGAGGAGCTGGGAGGAGAGGAGGCCGACGTACAGGCGCGAGCGGCTATGCGAGGACAGCAGAACGACTACTCCGGGATGGCGCGGAAGGCGGCGAGGAAGCCGCTAGCAGGGAGGAGAGTGGTGAATCGGAGAATGACGAGAGTGACGAGGGTGACCCAGGTTTTAACCCCGAAACGGAGGGAGGTTTGGATGCTGAAGCTGATGAAGATGATGAGGAGCTCTGGGTTCGTGGGGCTGAGTTTCCGGACCAACAAATTGGAGCCGCGTCTGCAACACGAACCCCTGCCAGGAATCGGAATGTGGGGGGAAATCAGGCCTGGAGGGGAAATCGAACCGCGGCAGAAATCACATTTGACTCTGCCGCAGCCAATAGGAACACCCCAACCCCAACCCCACCAATGATCCACCCAGGCGACTTGGCGAAACGACTGGACCTTTTCGCGCAAGTCGCAGGCTGGGACCTGGACCCACTGCGCGACAGTCGCCTGCCGCCCCTCGCCCGTCACCAGCCAAAAGACCTTCGCGAATCATTCGCAGTCTGCCTACTCACCCCACTCCTCCACCTGGCAGCCAATCCCAACTCGACCGCGGGGTGGAGGTTACTGACTTTCCTCCCGCGAATCCTCCTACGCACCTCGTCAGCTCGCAAACCAGACTGGAACGCGATGATGAATCGCCTCCTCCGTTTCCGCCAGGGACTCTGGTCTGGCCTGTATGACGAGGCAGTTGAAGCAATTTCCCTCCCAGCCCAGCCACGTCACGTACCTGACACTCGGGGCATCCTTGCCAGAGCGGAGGGACTGGCCAAGCGTGGTAACCTGGCCAAGTCACTACAGTCCCTCCAAGCCACTCCGGTCTCACCTGCCTCCCCCGAAGTGTACGCGGCATTAGCAGCTCGACACCCGCAAGCACTCCGGCCCTTACCAGAATGGATACGCACCTTCTCCCCCGAGAAAACCCCTTCGATTGAGCCGCGAGACTTCAGGCGCATCGTAGCCAAACTCCCAAACGGGGTGGGAGCAGGGCCCTCAGGCACAACCTTCGAGCACATACGCGATGCTGCACTCGGAAATCCAGACATCTTCGCCCATCTTCTCGCACTTACCAATACAGCTATAGCCGGGAAACTCAGCAGCGAAGCCACCGAGCTCCTCACAGCCTCACGGCTCTTGGCCTTCACAAAACCGCAGGGGGGGACCCGACCGATAGCCGTGGGCGAATGCCTCCTTCGCATTGTGGCCAAGGCAGCACTGTTCCTGACTGGGGCGGCGGCACGATCACATTTCGCACCTCTACAGTTCGGGGTAGCAGTGGTTGGAGGGATTGAGGCGGCCATTCACACTGCGCGCACATACCTGGAGGAGAACCCGGGCTTGGTGGCGCTGCAGATTGACCTCGCCAACGCATTTAACGCGGTGGAAAGGGCGGCGGTATTCGAGGGGCTCAAGAACGAGTCCCTTGAAAGCCTTCTGCCCCTTGTCCGCCTCTCCTACGGAACTCCCTCAGCACTCCACCTCGACCACGACTTCGGCGTGGCTCCACTGCAAGTGCTAGAGGCGTCCGCCAGGGGGACCCTCTTGGCCCCTTGCTCTTTGCGGCAAGCATCCACCCACACCTTACCGCAACGGAACTAGCTCACCCAAGGGTCGTCATTCTCGCCTATGCAGACGACATAACGCTGCTAGGCGAGGCAGAAGCGTGCACGGCGGCATTTACACACCTCACTGCCGCACTGATCCACATAGGCCTCGAGCACAACCTTGGGAAGTGTGAGGCTTGGTCTGCAGCCGCCATAGACCCCGCCTCTCTCCCTCCGAGCTTCCCCATCGCAGCAGACGGACTGCGGATATTAGGAAGCCCAATCGGGACCTCAGATGGCTGTGCCACCAGAGTGAGGGAAAGGCTTGCAGCAGCAGCAGAACCCTTGCCGCTCCTGGCCCAAATGGACCCCCAATTGTGCCTGCTGCTACTCACCCGCTGTGTGGGCCGGCGAGCATCCTTCCTGGCCAGAACCACCCCGCTAGAGGCACTACCTGAGGATGAATGGGCGGCATGGGGGGAGCAACTGCTGCATACCTTCCTGGACGCGGCCCATATCATGCTGCCAAGGAGTGACGCGGAACAGAGGAGAATCTGGAGGCAGGCGGCGCTGCCCGTAACATTGGGGGGGCTTGGCATTACAAATCCTGCAGTTGAAGGGAGCTATGCGTACCTTGCGTCGGTGGTGGGCACCTCCCACTTACTGCACTCCCTGGCCGAGGCACTCCACCCAGATGTAGCAGCCCTCCTCCCCCTAATGGACCCCACCACCGGCTCCGCGCACGCCCTGCCTGCACGCCTTGCAGCAGCGGAAGCAGCCCTCCCCCCCGAGGCTCTAGAAGCTCTCCAGGCCGGGAAAGCAGACCCACAGGGCCTCAAGCTGCAGCAGTCTCTAGCGCTGGCGGTTCAGACACGCCGCTTCCTGAGGGTCATGAACGAGGCAAGGCGGATGCGCCCCAACCCCCTCTCTGGCCATGCCCAGAGAATGCAGTCGGTGCTCGGCCCTGGTGCGGGAGATTGGCTGCTGGCACTACCCATCATACCCTCGCTCAGGATGGGACCCTCCCAGCTCTCCTCCGCTGCTGCGTTCCGCCTGGGCCTCCCCCTACCTGTCCCCAGGCGCTGCGACTGCCGCTACCGCACCAAATTCCCTGATGACCGCCTCCCAAACCATCTCATGCGCTGCGAGAAAGGGGGGGGAAGGATTGCGACTCACCATGCGCTCAGGGACGAGATTGCTTTGATTGCGGCAGAGGCGGGATTCACGGTGCACAAAGAAACCTATGTATACTCTCTCGTTGAAAACCTGAAGGCGGACGTCACAATCCGCCATCCCCGGACGGGAGAGGTTTGGATGTGCGACGTGACAGTGACGGACCCCGTTTCTCACCAAGATGAGAACTGCAACAGAGCACCGGGGTGGGCGGCTAGGGCAGCTGCGGACAAGAAGGAGCAGAAATACGCGCGCTGGAATGCGTGGGTGGGCTTTCATGCCCTAGCGGTAGAGACATATGGGTACCCCTCGCCCGGGGTGTTGGCATTCTTGCGGCAGTGCGCGGAGCTGGCGGCCAAGTTGCGATTCAACGCAGCCCCCAACTCCTACGAGGCCGCCAAGCTGCTGACGGAATACCGCCAACGCTGGAGCGTGTGCCTCCAAAAAGCACAAGCCAACGCCCTCCGCTGCAAGACCAACGAGGCGATAGCAGCGGACGAGCTCGGCATGCGGGGCCCCTTTGCCCCCCTTAGCGAAGGCCAGCTCTACCAGCTAATAGAGCCCCCGTTCGACCTTTAGGGTCGGACGGAGGGGGCGGGAGGGAGTAAGGGAATGAGGTAGTTAGGTAGACCGAGTGTTATGTCTGGGTTTGCATGTGTTTGCATCTTCCCATGTATCTCCCATCAATCAATACGAGGACCATTCGAGAGAGAGAGAGAGAGAGAGAGAGAGAGAAAGAGAGAGAGAGAGAGAGAGAGAGAGAGAGAGAGAGAGAGAGAGAGAGAGAGAGAGGCATAGAGCACAGGCTGTTAGCTTCCTCATGAAGCTGAACGTTGCAGCACAGGCGGAAAACCCCCCCTTAGGAGGGCCCGAGGGGGAGCTGAACCCAGGGGACTGTTTTGCAACACTTGAGCCCCCGCAGGGGGGCTGCTAGGGGGCATGGGTAGTCACTCACATGTTTGTTTCTGTTTTGTGATAACTATACTCGTTGTACTGCATGTTATATCAATGGAGGACCGTTTGAGAGAGGCATAGTCCCTTAGTCCCTTAGCCTCTCAGCCTCTCAGCCGCCCCTACCCCTGCTATATAAGGCTGTGGGCCTGGTGGGTAGCTCATTATTCAGTTCGTCGGTTCATTTCTTCTGACCCAACGGCTCACGTCAGCCGCACGCTTGGGGCGGCAAGCATCAACACATACAAACGGCTATAATCAAGGGCATACACGCAATGGCAAGTCTACCAGCCTAGGAAACACACGAGACTACAATGGAAGAGGAGGGGGAGGGTTCTAGTACTGATCCGCGTCGAGAACAGCAAGAAGACCGGTCAGAGAGCGGTGCAGCTCCCGCACCACTCCCGTGCTTGCGCTGATCACCTCGGCTCCTGAGCCTGCGCGCAAAACCCGCTGCAACCCACGGACAGCGGTACCAAGCTGGCCAACACCCGCAATTACGCCCATCGCGGGCGCAGCCAGCACGGGCGCCAGTAGCTCCGCGAGCCGGTCGGCAGCATCAAGACACACGTCCAGAGTGCGACCATCCAGAGAGCCACCGCGAGAGAGAGCGGCGTGACCATACGCCTAGATCAGGTGCACGGCCCGCAAGCCCTCAGCGAGGCGCCACAGCTGCCCGAGAGACTCCTCGGGGACTTCAGCCATGCGAGGAGGTCCTGCCAGCGCCTGGAACGACAGCGCGTCACCAGCGGAAGGAACCCACGGCTGCTCCACGCGACTTGCCGGAGCAGGAGCAGATGCAACAGGAGCAGGGGGGGGCGGAGCAACTGCCTGAGGAGGGGGTGCCTCAGCAGGAACCCACGGCAGATTCAAGCGACCCCCAGGAACGGCAGCAAATGCAGCTGAGGCAAGAGGAGGCGGAGCAACTGCCGAGAGAGAAGTAGCCGCCGCCACGGGAAGGGCGGCAAGAGGTGGAGCTGCAGGAGCCGGAGGAAGACGCTGCGCGGCCCTCTCCTTGCGTATCGCCGCCGAGACGACATGCTGCACATCCGCCAGCGATACCGGCTGAACATACGCCGGGCCACCGCCGTAACCGTGACCTCCCCCCGACCCGCCACGACTGCCGCGATGCCAGTTTGCCTGCGGGTGGTTACGGCGGGGAGAGTCGCGGCGACGGCGCGACGACTCACGCTCCTCGCGGGGCGCAGGAGAATGGGGGCGCGGTGAGCGACGGCCAGGTGACGGAGGGCCCCGCAGCTGCCCCACTGGCGCAACAACAGGCGCTGCCACAACCGGGGCCTGGCCGCCAGTGGTGGCGGACACCGCCATCGGTGACGCAGCAACAGCCGCGGCAGGCGCTACAGAGTCAACAACGGCGGGTATTAAGACACGAACCCCTAGGACAGGTGGAGCAGCAGCAGGATCTGCAACAGCAGGCGGTGCGCCAAGGTTCGCAGGGACAGCTGACGGGACAGCAGGAATAGCAGGTGCAGGAGCCTCGACGAGAGGCAGAGGGCCCGGCTCCACAATAGGGGCAGACGGAACAGGCAGATGCGACACTGGAGCCACGCTCGCCATGGGGCGTGGGTCCGGAGGCGGAGAGGCACCAGCGGCAGAGGGCGCTGGCTTCGGGGCTGGTGGGACTCGCGGCTTTAGCGCAGCAACCCCCGGGGCAGACGCAGGTGGGGATCTTCTGCTCACCGCTGACACGGCGGCAACGTGCTTTGGCGATGGCCACGGCTCGCCAGCAATCACCATCGCGAGGGAGGAGAGGACGAGGAGCGGGACGGCAGGCAGGAGACGGGGTAGCAGGGGGTGTGGAGAACGCGTTCGAGTCTGCAGGGCAATGGGCTTTAATGCTATCTGATACTAAAAACGAGGAGCGAAACGACCCGTCTTATAGGGAGGAGCCACGCGAGGAAAGCAGCGGCAGCGATGGAGAAGGCAAGGATGAGGAGAGAGAGCAGTCGGGAAGAAGAAGTGGGAGGAATCAGAGGGGAGCAGCTGGACAACCAAGAAACGGATGGGGGCCGCAGGATGGGGATTGTACGGTCACAATTCCAACCCTACCACCCCTCCCGCTCTTGAATCGCGGTCGCGCAAATCGGGCCGCAAGAGAAAACCAGACTGCGGCCCGATAGGTTCAAAATGCGCGCTACTACATGCCAGAAGAGCTGGCGAGGTAGGCAAACAAATTCGCAGAAGTGGCGACCTGGGAATTAGGGCCACTCTGCGACAGTCGCCAACCCCCCCTGTTACGGAGATTACCGCCAAATCTTTGTCAGCTCTTCTCGCTGGTTGTGCTGATGCCGCTACTGCACCTCTCGCGAAACCCCGATTCGGTAGCGGGTTGGCGGTTACTTCATCAAAAGCACCCAACTGCCGAGCCCGAGCCTCTCACCTGGCCGTCTCCCACCGAACCGCCAAACCTGGACATCCCATACGCGGAATTTGTGAAGCTGCTCAGCCGATGCAAGAAAGGGGTGGGAGCCGGACCAAGTGGAACGACATTCGAGCATCTTCGCGACGCGGCAGTAACAAATGCATCCGACAGCACCCATCTACACGCCCTGGTTAACACCATTCTAAAGGGCAATCTGCCACATTCAGTAGCCGACCTGCTCACAGCATCGCGCCTAAGGGCGCGTGTCTTTTGGTGTAGAGTTCGAAAAAAAGATCAACTTTTTGCTGGTAACCCGCTTCGCTAATTTCGTGACAGCTAGATTGCGAGAATCGTGTGTCCCAGTTCATGGTTTGATGAAACTGAAGGACACTGAACTAGGGTCGAATTTTCACGTGCACGTTTATCCAAACGTGTGTTCTTCTGCTCGTGCATAGTGAATTTGCGAATTGTACGACGGTTACGAAAAACAACGTACCAGGTTACTGTAGCCAAATTCGACACGAACTTTGTCGTCTAGACTAGGTAACCTACGAAATTTGGGCACGACTCAGAATCTACTGTACATAGTCGAACTTCGTTAATCGAACTTTGTTGTTCCATCTGTTTGATGTGAAAGGTAACACTGCGACTTGACCACAAATAGTCGAGAATGTCGACCACAGGTCAACCGAAGTTCAAATGGATAAAGCTGACCAAAAAACATGAACTACAAATACACTCCAAAAGACACGCGCCCTAATTGCCCTGGCCAAGCTGGGTGGCGGGGCTCGCCCAATCACGATTGGAGAATGCCTGACGCGGCTGGCCGCAAAAGCAGCACTGACTGCCCTGGGCGAAGCAGCACGAAGCTACTTCCTACCCCTGCAGTACGGCGTGGCAGTACCAGGGGGCGCTGAGGCATTGATCCACAGTGTGCAAGCATACTCCGACTCACACCCGAACTGCCTCATCCTCCAGACAGACATTTCCAACGCCTTCAATAGTATTTCTCGGCACGCAATAGTCACAGCGTTACAGGACCCGGCACTATCACGACTGTTACCGCTAGTCAAACTGGCATATGGCAGGCCATTGCTACTGTTCCTAGACGCTAGCTTTGATAGCCCGCCACTGACGAGCGAGCGAGGGGTCCGGCAAGGAGATCCTTTAGGACCTCTACTGTTCGCAGCTGGGATTCACCCAACATTGAGAGCAACTGCCACAGAACATCCCGTTGTACTCTACCTAGCATACGCTGATGACGTCAGCTTCATAGGTGACAATCGCGAAACAGTAGCTGCTTTCTTGCACTTCACTAGCCAACTAGCTCTAGTAGGCCTGCGACACAACCCTGGGAAGTGCGCCGGATGGAATAGTCAACCCATCGACAGTACGTTGCAACTGCCCGCAGGGGTACCGATTAGCAATACCGGAGTTCAGATCCTTGGAAGTTTCCTAGGTACCCCGGAGGGAGACGCCGCTTTCTTGACTGCTCAGCTACAGGCTATGTCCACGCCACTACCACTGATTGGGAGAGAAGACCCCCAGGTGGCATCCCTTCTCCTTACAAGCTGCATCTCCCGACGGGCACCCTACCTCACGCGAACAACCCCACTGCACCTGCTGCCACGCTTCACCTGGTCACAGTGGGGTAGAGATCTGCTAGCCGCGCTCCTGACAGCCTGCGGCATCCGCGTCCCATCAGATGGGGAAGAACAGACTAGAGTATGGGAACAGTCATTCCTCCCACCATCACTAGGCGGGTTAGGCCTCAGTGACCCCACAGTAGAAGGGACATTTGGTTTTCTGGCTAGTATTCCCCAAACAGCCCAACTCCTTGGCAGCTTACCACTAGAAGTAGCAGAGGCTCTAAAGGCAGCCAGGAACCACATGCTGCTGCCACGGGACACTGATGCTGCCCTGCACTCATGGCTGCATGAATGCGAAGCAGCACTACCACAGGAGACCAGAGAAATACTGGACAAGGAGAGATTGGAACCTTCGGGCCTGAAGCTGCAGCATGAGCTGGGTGTTCGAGTAGAGGGAAGCAGATATGTCAGACAGGTGGAGGCAACACGGCTGATGAGACTGAACCCGCTATCTGGCCACACACAGAGATACTTCTCCCTGACCGGTTACGGTAGTGGTGACTGGCTGACCGCGATCCCAAAAGAAGCACACCGCCGCGTGCGGCCAGAGCATTTCGGGAACGCCGTCCGCTTTAGATTCGGGCTGCCCTTTTCTACACCTAAGAACTAGGACTGCTCTAAGCATATCAAAATCAAGGACCCACGGCTGCCCAACCACCTGCTCTTCTGCGGCACAGGCAAGCACTAAATCAACACCCACAATGAACTACGAGACGCGTGTATCACAATGGCACAAGACGGGGGCTTCATCGTTCACAGGGAATCAGCTCCCCAATAGAAGAACAGATAGGGGATTTCACAATGCGTGACAGGAGCTCGGGAGCACTCTACGTGTGTGATGTCACCATCACGGACCCCATTAGCACCCGGGATCCAAATGCTACAAAGGGGAGGGGATGGGCAGCAAGGGAGGCAGCAGACAAGAAGATTGGCCATTATGCCAACCGCCCAGACACGGTTGGCTTCTTCCCCTTGACGGTTGAGACATATGGATGCCCATGCGCCGAGGTGCCGTAGTTCTTGAAGCTCTTGGCGGACACTGCTGCTAGGCGCTACTTCAGCGCCCAACCTAAGTCATTTCATGCAGCCAGGTTCATGCACCTCTTCCAGCAGCGGTGGTCAGTGGCTCTGCAGAGAGCCCAATCACCTCATTAAGTCCAATCAGGCGGCGGTAGCAGAAAACCCACTTGTGGGGGGCGTACAGTCCGAGATCCACCTTGGGGACTGCTGTGCTATGACAGAGCCTCTGTTAGTGATATAGTTAGGTGACCATGCGTGGCTTGTAGGTGGCATAGTGCTTGTGTGTCCTAAGTTTTGGCTTCCTTACCTTGCAGCTATATCAATGCACGGACCATTAGAGAGAAAGAGAGAGAGAGAGGGAGAGAGAGAGAGAGAGAGAGAGAGAGAGAGAGAGAGAGAGAGAGAGAGAGAGAGAGAGAGGGTGGCAGTGAGGGCATCATCCACGCCGCACGAGCCTTCACAAGCGCAAACCCAGACGCCGTAGTCATCCAGGCCGATCTAGCCAATGCGTTCAACTCGATTAGCCGCGGCGCGATAGTAGAGGCGCTCTGCCCCACTGCTCTCCAGGTGATCATCCCCCTCGTCAAAGTATCCTATGCCACACCGGCCCAGTTAGTTCTAGATGCCGGGTACGGATGCGAACCACTGACCCGTGAAAACGGGGTACGGCAAGGAGACCCGCTAGGTCCCCTCCTCTTCGCAGCAGGAATCCACCCCGCCCTCACCAAGACAGCAGCAGCATTCCCTACGGTGATGTGCTTAGCGTTCGCCGATGACATCACGTTCCTGGGGAAGGCTGCGGACTGCACCGCCGCGTTCAACCATTTCACAACGAGCCTCCGAGACGTGGGGCTATCCCACAACCCCGGGAAATGCGCCGCGTGGAGTGCAGTACAGGTTCGCCGCACGAGCTTCCGGAAGGGGTCCCGTTTTGTGAAGAAGGGCTACGAATTCTGGGCAGCTTCATCGGCGCGCCCGAAGGCGATGCATCATTCCTCCGAGCGCAGCTAGAGAGATCGTCGTCCCCCCTCCCACAGATATCCGAGATGGACCCCCAGGTGGCGTCCCTGCTCCTCACACGGTGTATCTCCAGAAGAATCTCCTACCTCGCCCGCACCACCCCCCTCTATCTACTGCCGGAAGCTGAATGGTCCCAATGGGGGCGGGCACAACTCAATACCCTCCTGGACGCGTGTGGAGTGCGATACCCCCGGGGCCAGACAGAGGAGGGCAGGGTCTGGGACCAGGCCTCGCTTCCCCCTAGCCTCGGAGGTCTGGGTTTGACGGACCCAGCTGTTGAAAGCCGCCACAGTTTCCTCGCGAGCGTTGTACACGCACAGGCCCTGCTGGGTACCCTCCTAGGCACGGCAGGTGAATGTCTAACAGCAGCCCTCTCAGACACCAGAGACCCCACCCACCTTGACGAGCTGCAGGCCTGGATCAGCAGCTGCAGGGATAGCCTCTCGCAGGAAGGCCGCGACCTCCTCGCCTCAGAGATAGCAACGCCTACCGGCAAACTGCAGCACAGACTCGCCACCCTCGTCCAAGGAGGCCGGGCCACGGCACACATAACGGCGTCACGGCAGTTGGAACTGAACCCCCTCAAAGGGCACACCCAGCGGCTCATGTCCCTCACAGGCTATGGGGCAGGGGACTGGCTGCTGGCGATACCATACATGCCCTCCCTCCGGCTAGGACCCGAACACTTCAGCTTCGCCCTACTGTTCAGGCTAGGACTGCCCCTGCCGCTCCCCAACCGCTGCGACTGCACTGACAGAACAGCTCTCCTAGACAAACGTCTACCAAACCACTTGCTGCGGTGTGGCACAGGGCACGGGCGGACAAACACCCACGATGAGCTGCAGGATGAATGTATTCGGATGGCTCAAGATGCGGGGTTCGTGGTGCACAAGGAAAGCACGGCCTTCAGCCCAGTTGACAACAGCCGGGCGGACCTAGCTCTCAGGGACGGAAACTCCGGGGCGGGCTGGTTGGGGGACATCACCATAACCGACCCCATCAGCACCCGTGACGAGACGGCTAGGAAAGGTAGGGGCTGAGCGGCCAGGGAAGCAACAGGCAAGAAAATCGGCTTCTACCACGGCAGGTCAGAGTTTGCCGGGTTCTTCCCCCTGGCGGTAGAGACCTATGGTTGCCATTGTGACGAAGTACCGGCCTTCCTGAAGTTGCTGCCTGACACTGCTGCAAGGAACCTCTTCAATGCGGACCCCTCTACCTATCAGGCCGCGAAGACGCTACACCATTTCCGCCAGCGGTGGTCCATTGCCCTCCAAAAGGCCCAGGCAGTTAGCTTCCTCATGAAGCTCAACTTGGCAGTACAGGCTGAGAACCCTCCAGTGGGAGGGCCCGGAGGGGAACTGAACCCGGGGGACAGCTTTGCAACACTCGAGGACTATTAGGGGGGGGGGGGGGGGAGGAGAGGGGGGAGGGAGGGGTGGGCGTGGTAGGATGGTTCTAGTTGCTGGAATGATGCTTGGCTATCTCTAGGTCCCCTTTTGTTTCTGGTTTCAG